AGAGAAGAGAAGAGAAGAGAAGAGAAGAGAAGAGAAGAGAAGAGAAGAGAAGAGAAGAGAAGAGAAGAGAAGAGAAGAGAAGAGAAGAGAAGAGAAGAGAAGAGAAGAGAAGAGAAGAGAAGAGAAGAGAAAGAGATAGGTACAGAGCAGGATTTCAGTTCCACTTTTAAAATTACCTTCCTTTATGGACCAGCAGATTTTTAGCCACACTAAATGTGTTATTCGCTGCAGCAAGAGACTTAGCACCCTGTTCAGCCCTCCCTTTCAGTATTTTGCATCTAGTGTGGCTTCATGCATTGCTCAGCTCTGCAAATACTGACTGGAAGAAAGGGAAACGTTTTTTACACATACAATTTTTCTAGTAGGAATTATTTCTCAAGTTCTCAATATGAGCATTAAAGCCACTATCAGATGCAGCAATAATTAACAACTGCTTCCCAAAGTCATACACCATAGAGAGACACACTGGTTGCAGTTTCTCATCCACAGCTATTTTCTTCTGTTTTTTTTTCTAAATTGTTTCCTTACCCAATGGGAAGGTTGTTGTTTTTAGGTGAAAACAACACACAGCCCAGAGAATAAGGCAGCTGAAGCCTGCTCTTAGCTATTGAAAAATAATTCCCTGTGATCATTAATAGCCTGGTGATGGGAGTAAGAGAAAAGAAAAGGATTGTTTGATGATGAAAATCTGCTTTTGCTCTCCTGACAGACCCGTTTCTATCAAAGGGCAGTAAAGAGAAGCTGATGCTGTCCTCCCTTTGGAGGGGTGAAAGATGTGTCAAAGCTTGGGAATTCCTTATCAGAGGCAACTCAAAATCCCCCTGACTCTGCTGAGTTAAAGATATGGGAGAAGGTTGTTAAAGAAATTAGAGGGTTGGAACTAGCTGGTCTTCAAGGTCTCTTCCAACCCAAACCATCCTGTGTTTCCATGTTGCCCCGAAGTTGTTACAGCGGAGACCCAGAAAATAGGAAAGAGAAACTCAGCATGTCAAAACAAACCGATGGAAGTGATGAATATTTCCACCTCTCAAAGGAGATCAAATAACCACGTGCAAACCACCCCTGGTATCACATGCCACTCACCAGATCTATGTTTTGCATGATGTCCTGGAAGGAAGGGTGAGTCCGGAACTGCTCGAACAGATCCCGCTTGTAGAGCAGCGCGTACACCAGGTTCGGGTTGTGATGGAGGGAATTTGTCAGGCAGGAGTTGATGATCTCCAGCATCATTCTGATCACCTCCTCGATCACATTCAGGTCTTGCGCCTTTAAGAAAGGAATAAAAGGTTAGTGTGCCCTTTTCCGCTGTAAAATACACTGAGTAATAAAGGCAGCGCACACGTAATTATTATTAATGGAGCTGTTAGATGGTTAATGTCTCTGTGGTGAGCAAATCTGGCACCCCAGTACCTGGAAAGAGATATGTTTTCTCCTGTAATCACCAAAATTTTAATTGAAATGCATCACACTAGTGTGCAGCCTCACAGCTTGATTCTCTCAACAGGAGCCATCTCCTCACGACATGAAGCATTATCTTATAGCAATCAGCCAAATTCACCAAGGATTAAATGAACTTAGTCTTCTCAACCTTTCCTGTGCCAAGTAAAAGCGCTTCAGTTTATATTTAATTTAACACATTTTCTGTTGAGCCCCTGCTTGGGGGAGGAGGGAGAGGGAGAAGAGAGAAAAAATATCAGAAAAATAAAAAATGGCTGGTGAGAGAGAAAAGCAAAGACAGCCGAAGTAAAACTGACTGGATCAAACCCCACTGCATCTTGAACATCCATCACTGTTACCAGACTTTGTCCCTCTGAGCTCTTTTTTTTAAAAACTATTTTCCTGGCATTGAAGAACACTTGTAATAAATGAAAAAGAAGAAGTCTCCTTTTGTAGTGCACTAAGCTTTATCAAGATAAACTTGTAGAGCTTTTCATCTTGTCAGTGCCTTTGACAAACCATTCCTGATGATTCTGAAACTCAAAACTTTCTAAGCTGAACAAGCTGGCATGTGAACTCCTGCCAGCCTTCTGAATTTCTCTCCTTGAGCTCCCCATCGTGATATTTCCAATACGATCGTTCAGATTGGAGAGCTGTCTGTCCTCCCTTGGAATAGAGTTAAAAAAGGCAATTCTACCTTGCTTGTACCGTTTGGTCTCTCCATCACGTCAAACACAAGACTGGGAGACTTTACAGGTCTGGCAAGAATGTGAATCACACAAAACCAGCCTGAGTTTTTCTGCTGGGTACAAAAACACTGAAATCACCAATATTTCCCTTCACCAGCTGCCTACAAAGCTCATTTTCTGAGTTATCACATGGCACTTAAATTCTTCATAATAAGGTAGTACTTGTAACAGCATTTTGTTGGACTGCCATCCAACCTGTACATAGTTATTTTCTACTATAAAGTAGCACTGTAGGAATTGTTACTTGCCAAATGTAGCTTCTTACCAAGGCAGAAGAAAACACAGGAAGTTTTCATTGTCCTGGTTAGACTCATGAAGAGCAAAATTCTTTGCTACCACTTGGCTCTGGCTGCTTTCAATGCAAAGCAAAGGTACATTTCTTCCTGAAACTGCAGATCACAGAATCCCAGAATGCTTTGGGTCAAAAATTAAATGCTTTTTCATAAAATATGTTCACCTTAAACCCCAAATATGTTCACCTTAAGCCCCAGACACACAGCTAACTGAAGCATAAAGCATTGCTAACCATCTCCAACTAGGTTGGAGACTGCCAGTGGTCAGCTTCAGTCAATGAAAAGTTGCAGAAGTTATTGCTCAGTAATTAAACATAAGGTTTTAGGAGCCAATGGACAGAATCAACCATCTGTTTTTCAGCTGCTATGTTCCAGGTGAAGAATCTGGGACTCCAGTGAAGAAAAACAGGAGATACAGTGAAGATTTTTACCCACAGCTGACTAGACCAAAAAAGAATAAGTTATAAGAAGAATGACCTCCATGAAAGACAGAGAAGTGGGACTGAATCCTGGTATTGCATATACGTTATCAGAAGAACCATACTCTCCTATAATTAGTGATAGAAGCATTTCTAAAGGTTCAGAAGTCTTCAAAACAAAGGAAAAAACAAGCTGAAAGCCAAGGACAGCATCTGGACGAGATAATGGAGAAATGCTGGAAGAGCTGATAAAATGTTGTGTGATTTTTCTGCCCTGTATCACCAGTATCAGGGTGCAGCCCCTCTGCACCCAGACATGGCACCGAGACAGGTATGAACAAGGCTACAAAAATGTTTTGCTGTTGAAGTTTATCCCCCTGTGTATTATTTTCAGAGTAGCTGAACACATCTGAAATGCTGCATGTGCATGGCCAAGTCAAGGACCACCCCCCCATCCTCAGCAGCAGTGTAAGACTGTGATGTTTTTGACTGGATTAGCTGTTATAAGGAAAGAAAAGCCAGATAATGATTTGCAGGGGATGAATAGACACGTTTCAACCTATTAAACAGTATATTTAACTGAGAGGAGTTCAAAGTAACAGCATTTTCCTATGCCTACAATTGACAAATTCAATATGGCATTCACATCTAAAATTATTACAGTATTCCTTTACAAAACAGGGCTCAGAAAATGGCTCTGTTGACATTGATGTGTACCAATCCTCCCCCACCTTTTTTCTGGCTTTTTCGTTTATACCCCTGGAAATAATTATACCAATAATTAAAACAAAGGTGGCAACTAAAAGCTTGGTACCGACTCTGTGAGACTGAAATTAAAACAGCAAAACGGATGGGAATGTAGGCACATCATCAAAGGGTAATCCAAGGAAACCACCTCACGTTCCTTCTCTGGAGAGGAATTAAATGTGGTGCTTTTCTTGCAAAGATTCTAACTTCTAAGGCAAAAAGCCAGAGGCTTGGTCATGTTCTAGCTGCGCAAGGAATAAACCAGGCAGCGACAGCTACAAGAAGCCAGGTAGGGTTCTGGGTAGTCTGGGTCTCTTTTGTTAAAAGAAAAAGGAAAAAACAAGTGATCACGCCAGAGGAAAGAGAATGGAAATAATCTGAGAGGATGCAGGGGAAAATATGACAAATGAGAACGTTATCTGGAGAAAAACAATTTGAGTTTGATAAACACTACGAAGGAAGACACAAAAGTGCAAAAGCAAGGCACATGATGGGCAGAGCTGGATGTTCTTGGATCTGACCAGGCTGGAATACTGTTGCTTTCCTTACTACAATACAATTACTAATTAGCATGACATCCTCCTGGGCAAAGAGTTCCGGATTCAATACTTACACACTGATGCATAAAACCAGTTGAAAAGTATATGGCTTATAAAAATCAAAGAAGTCAAGCAGCCTAACAGCAAACCCCAGGCATGTGCTCATAGTTTGGTTCCTTACAGACATATTTACCCATCAAAACACTGTCAGTGGAGGACGCAAAAATTCAGTGTCACCAAAAACCTGTTTAATTTAGGGTACCCATCTTCTGGTTCCCACAGTAAAACATTCTGAGTGCTCATCTTTCTAATTCAATTTGACATCAAATTAATTTCAATTTTTGTAATAATAAAGAACTGGTAAATAAAGTTCTGTTATGAGTTAATGCAAATCTCCAGCCTCTAAATGTCAACAATTCTGAGGAGATAAAGGGAGGCACGTCCTTGTATGATTCAGCTTAAGTTTGTGTAACCATCCCTCGTGGGGATGGCCCCACAACCTGAGCTGGGGTAACACTTCAACTGCCCGTTACCAGCAGTGACAGCACAGCTGTATCCAAGGAATGTTGGGAGTCCTAATTTCAGGTTGAAATGACGAATGAAACAATTATTTTCTTTAGGTTAAAAATTTAGAATTTCAATATGTAAAGGGGGCTTATAAGAAAGAATGGGGGCAGAGTTCTTTGTAGGGTCTGTAGCAGTAAGAAAAGGGGCGATGGTCTTAAACTGAAAGAGGGGAGATTCAGACTAGATGTAAGAAGAAATTGTTTGCAATGAGAGAGGTAAAATACTGGAACAGCCTGCCCAGAGAAGCTGTGGCTAACCCATCCCTGAAGTGTCCCAGGCCAGGCTGGATGGGGCTTGGAGCAACCTGGGATAGTAGAATGTGTCCCTGCCCATGGCAGGAGGTGGAATGAGATGATCTTTAATATCCCTTCCAATCCAAACCATTCTGGAATTCTATTCCATGATTCTAAAAACTACTGGTGCATAAACTTAAGTCTCATATCATGTCCACATGACAACTACATATTTCAGATTATATATTATTTTGTATATTATTATCTATCATTACGTATTTATTTACTGCAAACCAGAATTCACTTAAATGCAACAATTTCCCCCCCCGTTTTACCTGGATGTATAGTAATCCCCAGTCCAAAGTAACAAATAATTTTAAGCCTAAACAGGTCTACTTTGCAACTTTTTTTACAAATCTGAGATCTAACAGAGCACCCTTTCCTTTGTGGCAAGATCCATACAAATGGTTATGCAACACACGACAACTTGTATGGAGATCCAGGTTGCTGCTGCCTACTAAAGAAGCTCCATTTCTCACTGTGCATCCATATTCCAGTAATTTTCCAGACAAATAGTGCTTTCAGCTAAACAACTACTAAATGTACACTTAGCACAAAAAAGCAGGAAGAAGCTAATCTGCCTCAAAAAACAAAACCTGAGCAGGGATGGGTAAGGCAATACCCCACAACTGTACAATGTAAACAGAGTAAAAAAACCAACACAACAGGAAAGGCACATGGTACTGAAGTCTTAATCCAAAGAAACCTGATGAAGTAAAGTCAGAGTGTCATGTAACAGCAAAAGAAACACACGATGGAAATGCAGGTTGATAAAAACAACATGTCCAAACACAGTCCTGAACTTATTGCTTATTACAATAAATGGCTTTCAGCAAGTGGGATCTTGCTGCCAGTAATAGGATGCTCTGACATATGAATTTTCAAAAGTGTAAGTTTCTTTATGTCACAGCTTGGTGGCTTTAGCTCACAACAACTGACACTGCAGGTCCCTCTCCAGCAGAGCAAGGAGTGCACACAGTATGAAAAAGCTGTGAAGAAGCTACTTAAAACATCTGGAGGCGCTGTAACAGTTTCCTTCCCAGGAACTCCACAATTAACATCAGCAAAACCACCTTGGACTCACCACTCACCCAGGTAGTTCTGAGTGACCCCTTAAAGGGCATCTGCTCCCTTTGCCTCTCTAAGTCAGAGAATCCCAGAATGGTTTGGGTTAGAAGGAAACTTAGAGCTCATCTCATTCCACCCCACTGCCATGGGCAGG